CTATTTCTATCAACCTTATCTCTTCGGTTGGTGGTGGTTCCTACCTCCTGGGTAGCCTGAGCAGTGGGGCTGCCTCCGGCGCTCAGTCAGCGGTGGGCTAAGCGCTCCCGCCTCAGGAGGAAGCTGCTGAGCAGGCACAGGGGCGCCTGCATGACTTTTTTTATCTGAAAGAGTACATCTGCAGGCTGGGGCAGTCACTGTGGAAAACAGCATGGAGTTGCCCAAAAAATTAAATAAGAAACCAGTTTGTCCCAGCAATCCCACTTCTGGGGATATATCCTAAGAGTCCCAAAACTCAATTAGAAAGACTAAATGCACCCATACGTTCATAGCAGCACAATGTACAACGTTTAAGATCTGGAAACAGCCAAAGTCCCCATCAGCAGGTGAGTGAATAAAAATGCTGTGGTACATTTATATCGTGGAATACTATGCAGCAGTAAAAAAGCAGAATCTCTTACCCTTTGCAGCAGCATGGATTGACCTGGAGGGTATTATGCTAAGTGAAATAAGCCAGTCAGAGAAGGACAAATATCACAGAATCTCGTGTATATGTGGAATCTAATGAACAAAATAAGCTGATGAACAAAACAGATGCAGAGACATGGATGCATGGAAGAGACTGACAGATCTCAGAGACAAGGGGAGTAGGGGAGAGAGATTAGCTTAAAGAACTTACATGCATACATGCATAGCCCTGTGGACACATACAATACTGCAATGAAGGCCTGGGTGAGGCAGGAATTGGGAGAGAAAGGCAATGGGGGGAAAAGGGGACCTTTGTAATACTGTCAACAATAGCCGAAACCGGTTTGGCTCAGTGGATAGAGCGTCGGCCTGCGGACTGAAAGGTCCCAGGTTCGATTCCGATCAAGGACATGTACCTTGGTTGCAGGCACATCCCCAGTACGGGGTGTGCAAGAGGCAGCTGATCGATGTTTCTCTCTCATCGATGTTTCTAGCTCTCTATCCCTCTTCCTTGCTCTCTGTGAAAAATCAATAAAATATATATTTTTTTAAATACTGTCAACAGCTGGGACCGGTTTAGCTCAATGGATAGAGCGTCGGCTTGGGGACTGAAAGGTCCCGGGTTCGATTCCGGTCAAGGGCATGTACCTTGGTTGCGGGCATATCCCCAGTAGGGGGTGTGCAAGAGGCAACTGATCGATGACTCTCTCTCATCGATGTTTCTAACTCTCTATCTCTCTCCCTTCCTCTCTGTACAAAATCAATAAAATATATTAAAATAAATAAATAAATAAATAAATAAATACTGTCAACAATAAAAAAAGAAAAAAGAAAAAAAGAAAGAGTACATCTGTCTGTGTGCTAACTCTCCGCTGTGAAGTCCTTTAAGCAAGGTGCCTGGCCCTGGGGGCGCTATCTCACCGCCCTCCACCCCGACCGCCTGCATGGGCCTCTGCTAACACACGCCTGCTCGGGGCTGCACCTGTCCGGCAGCCTTCAGGTGGGACCTTCGGGTGTAGGTGAAGCAGGCTGGAGCCCTTCAGGCTGGGACACTGACATTCTGCACTTTCTTCTTTCAAAGTCAAGTTCAACCCTAGGGACTGTGCCTTCTTCAGACCAGGGCAGTACTTCTCAGACCCTGAATACAAACGCTCCTGACTGTGTCAAACCCCCTAGTCAGTCTCTGCTCTTCCTCATCCCTCCATGAATCTTCCTCAGCCCTGATCCCAGGACCCTCCTCACAAGTCTCCCACAGCTCCCCTCTGCTAATTCAAACCGAGACACATAGCACTTCCTAGGCCTGTCCTACTGTCTGGAGCTCATGCCCAGTCAAGGTAAGCTCGTCTCTAGTCCCAGCCCACGTTTCATATTACCACCTCCTGTACTGTATGCTCGGCATGACTGCCTTCCTCCCTCATTCACTCAATCGGGCAACCAAGATTTGTTGCATACCTACTATATACCAGGCACTGTTCTAGAAACTAGAAGTCAGCAACAAACGAAACAGACAAAACTCCCAGCCTTGGAGAATTTTATGTTCTAACTGATGTCCCAGTGAACAGATTCATGCACATTGAAAGGAAATTAATTACAAAAAATATTTTAATATCACTATTCACCCTTTCTCTATAATAGACATGTCAACCAAACTCATGATAGACAATGAGAGATTGAAACATATGCGTGCGATTGTGCCAGTGAAAGCTTTATGTGTATCATACGTGCAAGAGTCAACTTAGCCTTTTATATATATAGAATAAACTTGCTTAATTAGACCTGCTTTCTGATGTAGCTAAACTTTTTTCCAGCCCAGTGAAGCGCCCCAACTTCTCTTTCAGGTAATTGTCAGCCACCCCGCAGTAAATATCAACATGAAGTAGATTATTATTGTAGATCACATAGGGAGAACAAAGGATAAAATATTTAACTGCAACAGTGTTTGATTATATTCTGCATAGTGAGAAAACCTGAAGTCATTTTCAAGTTCCACCATTTCTTACTTCTTTTCAGTTGGGTCAAGTTTCTAAACTTTCTAACTCTCCATTTTCCAGCTAATGAAAAGGACATAGGATTCCACCAAGTCTCCTATCCACCTACTCCAGGACTTTCTGTGAGGATCAAATGAGATGAGGCACATCACAAACATTTTGTTAAAGTGTAAAATGTTTACACCTGGCTATAAAGCAAGTCATGTTCCTGGGCAGAAGAAACTCCAAGGAGGGTAGTAGATAGGGAGAGGAAGCTGGATGTTGCTATGTGACATTATTACCCAGCACCCACAACGATCATTTCCAGGCTGCACTGAACTGTGGGCTGCATTTTGCACCATGGGGTCTTGGTAGCATTGGATGTGATTTGGTGGGGTGTCACTCCAGGGTAATGGCGGGGCCTGTGTCCCACTTGGGATAAGTCGAGTGTTGATTTGTCAGCACTAGGTCCATGGTGCCATTTATTTTAAATGGCCAGTCCACATCATGGCAGCTCCTGCATTGAGCGTCTGCCCCCTGGTGATCAGTATGCATCATAGCTACCAGTCGGATGGACACTTAGCCTTTTATATATATACAATGCACAGATTGGTGTACCAGTGGGGTCCTTCGGCCTGGCCTGCGCCCTCTCGCAATCTGGGACCCCACCAGTGCACAATCGGGGCCAGGGAAGGACCAAGGGAAGTTGGCTGGATGGGGAGGGACCTCAGGAAGGCTCCAGGGCATGTCCAGCCCATCTCACACAGTCCCGATCAGCCAGACCCCAGCAGCAAGCTAACCTACCAGTTGGAGCATCTACCCCCTGGTAGCCAGTGCACATTAGAGCTACTGGTCAACAATAAAATGGTAGCTTAGGCTTTTATATATAGAGACTAGAGGCCCAGTGCACAAAATTCATGTACGGGGGGGGGGGGGGTCCCTCAACCTGGCCTGCAACCTCTCACAATCTGGGATCCCTTGAGGGATGTCTGACTGCCAGGTTAGGCCCGAATCCGGGATCAGGCCTAAACTGGCAGTCGGGCATCCCTCTCGCAATCCAGGACCGCTGGCTCCTAACTGCTGGCCTGCCTGCCTAACCACCCCTAATCACTCTGCCTGCCTCATCAACCCTAACCACTTGCCTGCCTGCCAGATCGTCCCTGCTTGCCTGCCCACCTGATCACCCCTAACTGTCTCTGACTCAGCCCCTGCTGCTACGGTTTCATCCGGAAGGATATCCAGAATGACATTCGGAAGGTCATTCGGCTGTCCAGTCTAATTAGCATATTACACTTTTATTATTGTAGATATTATAGATATAGATGGAAGGAGACAGGCAAATAAATGAACATGTAAAACCAGGTTATGGTAAGTACAAAGCAGACTACTGAATGCCAGGGAGCAGCTGGCATGGTGGTCAAGGATGGCCTCCCTGGAGAGGTGGCATTTGAGTAGAACCCCGCAGGAGGGAGGGCATGAGCTTCCAGAAGAACACTGGGAGGAAAACATTCCAGGCAAAAGGAGCAGCAAGTGCCAAGGCCCTGAGGCAGAAATGTGCTGGTGTGTTCTAGGAAAGGCAAGGAGGCCAGTGGGGATGAAGAAGATCATGCAGGCCTAGTGAGCCACAGCAGAGACATGGCTTTCACTGTGAGTAACACCTGAGCCTGAGGGCTCTGACCAGATGGACATACTCTGTAACAGACCGCTCCGGCCTCCAGTTATTGAGAACAAACTGCATGGGGCATGGAGGGAAGAGACACCAGATAGAAAGCCTCTACAATTATGCCAGTGGGAGGCAATAGCAGCTTAATCCAGACTCATTGACCAGATCTCCTGGCAGGTTGGGTTTAGGGGTACAGAAAGAGCAGAGACTGGGTGGTTCTGATGGTTCTGGCCGGAGGGACTAGAAGGGATAGGGTTGTCATGTATTAGGTTGGTGAAGGCGCCAGGAGCAGCAGGCTGTGTGCAGGGTGGGAGTGGAGATCACTTCCCTGTGGGGCTGACGGTGAGCAGCCTTTAAACTCCAAAAGGAACACAGTCTCCTCGAAATAGCCTTCCTCACAGCAAGCTGAAAGCACACCCTGCCTCTTGAATGCTGGCCCCTCCCTGCCTTCCTCCCTCTCTTGCCCCATTCTCTCTCCCTCTCTCTCTCTCCCTCTCCCTCTCTCTCTCTCTCTCTCTCTCTCTCTCTCTCTCTCTCTCTCTCACACACACACACACATACACACACACACACACACACACTTATCCACATCAGTTATCCATATCCATACATAATTCCCTTGAGGCTCATTCATTTTATATTACCTGGAAGCATTTGCACATAGTAGCTGTTCAATAAATATTGTTGGTACTATGCTGTACATTGCACTAATGATGTTTTAATAGTCCAACAACTCAAAATTGTTCTTCAAAACATTTAAAATTATGCTTAGCAGTGATTAAAAATCAGTAGTACTTAGTCCACGTGAAGCATCCTAGATGGAGGTGTGGACCTGCCCCCAGCCGTTAACATCATCACAGCGGTCTCTCCGAGGAAAGGCCAGGAGAAGAACGCGGGCTTACCTTGCCGGCCCTCACGTCCCAGGCTTTGACCTCAGGGCTGAAGCCCCCGCACACAAAAAGGTTGTGGTCTTTCGGGTGAAATTTCAAGGTAGTGACTCTGAAGTTACTCTGACCACTGAATACCTGGGTTCCTACACAAAAAAGAGAAGAGAAAAAATACTCAGATCATAAAATAAGTATCTTTAAGATAAAGTCACTACTTGGGATGGAGCGACAGGCCAGCACTGCCCACCTGGGCCAGAGGCGGCCAGGGAAGACTTTCTGGGAACACAACAGCAGCAGCAACTCTGGCCTCACTCTCTGCCACCAGACCCTGAGTTGCGGGACCCCCTCCCCGAGGCCACACTAGCGGCTGGATCCGTGAATGCCGCCTTCTGTGTGCTCTGACCCACTTCACACAGAAACGCCCCACTCTGGGGAGGCTGAGCGGCATGGCCACGCTGCACAGCTCACACAGCGAAGTCTTTACCTGCGTCTGCACGTCTGAGGGAAACCAGGGGGCTCCAGAGTGATTCTCTGTAGGACCAGCTCTCTTCCAATCACAACTTTACAATCCCCCACCACGAAGGGTTTGGTACCGAGCCTGGAGTGGGGGGTAGCAGGAGACTCTGGTGACAAAGGAGAGTGTGACACCACACTGGCCCAGACTCCCGATGTGCAGGGGTGTGGACCCTCAGAGTGCCACTGGTTCTACAGGACTCAAGTCCGTCCTGGTCCTTATGTATCTGCCATCAGACGGTCGTCAAGCACTTAATGCCTGTGCAAGTGTCCGTGTGCCCCGAGCTGGTCTGGGGGGCTCCAGGCCAGCGCTCCTCCGTCTTCACAGTGGCACCTCGCACCACAGCAATGGCTGTAGTTCTCGTGTGTCCAATTCAACCCCCCAAAAGAGCAGTGAGGAACTGGGCTGGCGTGGGAGCGGTTCTCAACACAGAGAGTCTGAGGGCTGCCTCTGTGCATGTCCCCAGGCCCAAGACACCACACCAGGTATGGCGCCCACTGCACATCACGCCAACCAGGTGGCTTCCTGTAGAGAAGCCGACAAGGGCTCCCCTGGCCCACAGGGGTCACACCTCACTGCCACAGGCCCATGGAAAGTCCCCCACTGGCCTGAGGCAGCGGGCAGTTAGGGGCACAAGAAGCTGGTGGCCAAGAACACCAACCTCTCCCGTGTCACTTCCTCTTCCAGAAAGCACTTCCTGCTGCGTGTTCAGGACCCCATACGCCTAGTGGAATGTTCCATCAAATCACCAGGAAAGGACATGAGAGCCACTGACCGGTACCCTGACCTGGATGGGTCTCGGGACCGTGTGACAACATGCCCCATGGATGAGAAGCCAGAAGCTCCCACGGCCAACCTCTGCACGGTTATTCATTAGTGATGCAATGTGCTACATTCCAATGTGCGCTGAACATTACAACAAATACCGAAAATAGAATATGTTAAAGGATGAGACAAGGAGAAAATAACCAGTATTTTAAAATATATCAACATGCCATTTTCTAAGAGGATCAACAAACTGCTTTGAAATCATTAATAAGTCCTAATGTTTTCAGTAAGAATGACAGGATTGACTATACTTCCGTGTGTTTTTTCAATTGCAGGGAACTTTTTTGTCAGTCAGTGATTTAAAAGTAGCCTGGTTACAGCTTCTGCTTATTCCCTGACGTCTGTCAGAGCCACAGAGCCCCTTCCGGAGGTGCGGGGACCGGAGAGTGCTCACCTTCGGCCCGGCCCGCTGCCACCCAGCACTGCGAGCAGAAATGCGAACATTTAGCTCGAAAAACCCCCACCACCGGTGTCAAACGCTGGCTCCTGCAACTTAACAACCCCATTCAAAATCCACTGAAATTTCCATTGCAAATATGTTAAAGCTGATTAGAAAAATGCTGTTCCTGAGTTAAGGGTGCAGATATTAGAGTTTTTAATAGGTGACACTTCACATCAAGTTTGGCAATGAAAATGACAGAGCGATGGAAACAATCAAAAACATCTGTTTTCCTAACGTTCCTTCTGCAGAACAAACTTTCTCGAAAGCAGTTCCCCTCGTACTTGGCTCATGAATGACTAAGTGTGTTGACTTTTTCCTAATTTCTTCCAGAGGCTGACAATTGGCAGCCGCTTGTCATCAGAGAGAATTTTGGGAACACTTGACCTTTTACAAATGAAGACTGTACCTCCTTAAGCCTAACAAGCCCCTTGACTACTCGGCAACAAAATGCAACACGCAAAGGTGCTCATGGCCCTCCTGGGTTAGCAGCGTCGCCGGGAGCTGGCCACGTCGCGTCCTGCCACCTGTAACGGGGAGGGACCGCAAACAGCAGCCCAGCTGCCCCACCCGAGGGGCGGCGGAGGCGGACACAGCGCCCTGCCTGGCATGAGTGACACTGGGAACACTGGAATCAGAGGCAGCGCTGTGTGGGCGATGGACAGTGCCCGGCACCTGTTTCTGAATTACAAGAGGACTAAGTAGGACTGACGTGGGCAAAGGCTGGGAAGGGATTCGCCAGCGTGGAGTGACTTTAAATGGCACTGATGTTTTTGTAGGCCTGCTTTCTAACATTGAAGGATTCTGGAAAGACACGGGGAGATGAGCAGACTTGGGGTGGCCGAGGGCTCCGTCCCTATCTTTAGGTCAACAGGGAAGCAGCAACTGATCTGGCTGGAAACCTGGTCTTCTTCGAGCTGATCCTTTTCCTTTCCCGAAGCCCGTCTGGAACCCAAGAGTGTAGTCAGGACCCAACCATGATGTCCTCAGTTAACAAGTCCCCATCCTGGGGAAGAGGAGCAGACGGGCACCTCCCTACAATCTCCACTCCCCCATCCATCCGGGACTGGGGGAGCACCACTGAGCATCCGGGTTGGGCCTCTCAGGTGCAGCACAGGCCTGAAGAACCGGCTCCAACCAAGTGGCCGGGGGACCCCACTGGGACTGAGGGCAGGCCCCTGGGTGGAACAGGAGCTCTCGGATGCAGGGCAGCCTGAACCCCACCAAGAAGCCCCTGCAGGCTGAGTCTTTCTCCTGGTGCAGACGACGGTGCCTACTGCCGGCTTCTTGCTGGATTGGGATCCACTGCCAATCCCGAGTCCAAAAGGAAAAACAAGCTCGTCTGCCTGGAGAAAAGTGTCTGCCTCTTTCTTGGAGCGCAGCACGGAACATATGCTTGTTTCAAAATGGCAGTGAACCCGCCTAGGTTTTCAAAAAGTGCAGTGACACAGTCTTGCCAACAATGGGGAGGAGACGAGAGGGAAAGTGAGAGCTGAGTTGCTAAAAGATGATGATTGAGCTTTTTGTGGTAAAAAAAAAAAAAAAAAGTACTTCTGAGTCTGTTATTCTTCCTCAACCCTCTTAAGGGATTGAGAACGTCCATGTCTTTTAAGAACTAACATTTTCCAGTTAGAAAACAAGCTAGAGTTTATATATTTTCCCGACTTCCACTTACCGTATAACAACTAAGGCTTTACTACATTTCTTTGTTTAAAAAAAAATTCAAAACTAAAAGGTTTTTCAATTGTTAAAGACGCTTCCACATACCCAATGGGAAAGATGAAGGGGGAATCTGTTTGGTGAGGCAGCCTCGGACAAGACGAGGCTCGAAAACCAGGCTTCCCGCTGCCTCGCCGGCCTGTTCCCGGCAGCGGGAGGCGGTCAGCAGAGGAGCTGAGCGTCCCAGGGCCTCGGTCTCACCCCAGCTCTGCCACTTCCAGTGGAGGGGCCCCGGGCAAGCCCCCACGCCGCGGGGTCGCACACACTCACGCCCTTAGCAACACAAGGCTGTCGAGGGCACATGCAGCAGGTACACAAAGCACTCCACAAGGCAAGGTAGACAGCAAACTACAAAAGGGAGCTATTGTAGCTTGAAAAAAATTGAACCGGAATGACTGAATTCATCCTTGGTTACACTAAAAGCTGAAGCCGAGGGAGGTAGGCTCTGAGCAGCAGAAACCTTGAGAGATGGGTGACTTGCGAGTTTTTGTTGCGAGGCCATGAGAACATAATGCCGGGGGCTGGCCTGTGTGTCTCACTCAGGAGATGTGGATAAAGGCTGGAAACCGTTTATCGGAAACGGTCTTGAACAGGAACCGCAGCCTCGCCGGCGATGAGCGGCCTTGCGTGCCGGAGCTGTGCCTCCCCGTACCTTTCATAAACGGAGCAGGTTGTTTATCAGGCCTCTCCTGGCGACGCTCCGTGAAGCACACAGTTAGTTGCTATGTAACCTTTAACCTTGAGACTATCTCGCCTGTTTACATGTTTAAGAAAATTCTACTATTCACTGGATGCTGCTTATAGGAAATTGAGCTTTAAAATATGTAATCCACTAACACAGACTGTATTGATCTTGTTATAATGAAATCAACCAATATAAGAACTGTTGATCCTCTTGGAGTTAGGAAAAAATCACTTCGTTTCCTCCTTCAATCAATAAGGACACAAATAAACTATAAATCGCCAGCAAAAACATGTTTAAAACAGAATGCAGAAACTCGATCTGTTCTCTTGACACTGTTATTACTGCTAATGCTTCCATCGCTAATATTGCTTTGAGAAGGCGGCTGGTAACGCTGGCCAGCAAACTCCTTGTAGTTGTCCCTCTTCCTTTCTCAGGTGCAGAGAGTGAGGTCCCCAGAAGCGAGCACCCACATGCGGCTGGGCCAATACTTCCTGTCCACCCTACGCCTGCCCTGGGCCACCCTACCCACACACAGGGCTCCAAGTTTGCAAGGCTGAGGGTCCTCCTCTTCCTCTCAGCCCAGTTCAGATGAAATCCAAGAATGGTCCATGCGTCCTTCTCAAGGAGATGGCACGTCATCTCCGGCCTGCCTGGGCTTGCACCTGTCCCCCCACAACCCTATGCGGCAGAAGTTCTTAAGCCACTTCCCAGCTCGGAGTTGGAAGCTCAGTGAGGTGCAGCTTCATCCAGGGCCGCGGGAGTCGGCCGTGCTGGATGGAGGCCGGACCTGCCTACCGGGGCCCAGCTCTCTGCACCTGCCGTGCCTGCCTGCGAGCTGTTCGTGACCCTACCTTCTGCTTAGCTCTTTGTGCACATCCGGAGACTCGGGACCACATAGGGAAGACGATGACAAGGGAAAGCTGATGTTGTCAGCTCCTGGAGATTGAGCCTGTGCTCCCAG